CATTCCATTGTTTTTCCCAATACTCAAGATAAGAATGAAAAGGCTCTATACGTAATCGGTCATTTGACTTCTGAGAAGTACCGATGTAGAGTAGAACTCAAGTGCTTTCATTCGACCTGCAATGCTCCAAGGAAATGGTACTGAAATCAGGAGAACGGAGTTTTGTTCGGTTCTAATGGTGGATGAGCTCCAGTGTTGATGATGCTGCAGAAAAGTGGAGAGGATTTGAGCAGGAGCTGTGGAGTGTAGGACATCCACCGGTTCTTTTCAAAAGTACGCTCGAAATGAGTCGTCTACGAATTACCTCATCCGAAGAAGTGTTCTCAGGACTAAGGATAAAACAGCAAGGGTGCCCCGTTCCAGGATTTTCACCCCTCGAATCCTTCCACTAAATCGTTCCTCATACTATCGAGAGGAGGAGGGCAAGAGAAGTTTAGGTCCATACCGAGATACAGTCTGCAAATGGACCTGTAAAATTAAGGTTGAGGTTGCGCTCAGCCGTTATTAGCTGCCATGTCCGTCCAGATCCGAGACTTCCATCCTTCTAGAGCAGCTGAATAGGTTTGGTAAGCTGTTAAGAAAACAGGCTACCTTTTGCATTATCTCGCTCCCACAAGTCATTCTGTAGACCAGATCGCTTAAAACACACCGATTTCTCATAAAATAGAATGCGTGGCGCATGTCAAGGGCTGTTGGGAATTACACTTAAACCTTTCTTTTTATTGCCACCATGTGTAATCCTAAAAATTGTGTACCCTTTAAAAATGGTTTAAAAAGGGCTTGATTATGGTTTTTCCTGTTTTTCAGAAACCACAAGTGCCCCCAATAATACGACCTGTCCTGCAAACGAAGAGTTCAAAGAGTGTGGCACGGCATGCGAACCGTCATGTCGCAATCCCAAGCCGGTAGGTTACGTCACAAATCTTCGATAAATTGAAAAATGCATTGTTACGCTCATCTCTTGATAAATCAAATGCTTCAGGAAATCTGCACTGAACAATGCGTCCGAGGATGTCAATGTAAATCGGGATTCTATCGTAACGATGAAAATGTCTGCGTGTCTAACTGCTCTGGTAAGCGCCCACATTTACTCAAAATCAGTGGGAGTTTAGAGAAATTGTATGCCTATACTGATTAATCATGCGTATCCGTGCCCTGTACACACAATGTCGTCTGAGCGTGGCCCCCTCGATCGGGTCTTAGTCTGAAGGAGGTAGCTTTTACCAGTGTGCTGAAGAAGCTCTGAGCAAATTTTAAAATTGTATCGTATCACATTTATGACCAATAAAGGATAAAAAGGATAAAGCATTTGCCGTTGATCAATCCCTTTTTGGGATGCGGCACGCATTCTACTTCCATTTGTACATTCGTAGTGGCGTTTGAATGCGATGTGGCCTATACAATGACTTGCGGGGGCCAGCCGATGTACAAGTCAGTGTTTTTATCCTCCCAGACAAGTCTGGTACCAATTAACCGACCCCGGAGGGATGGAAGGCTTGGTTGGCCCGGGCGACTCACGACCCAGGATTTGATCCCGGACCGCTCGCGTGGTGAGCGCGCCACTTGTCACTACACCACTTCCGCCGCCATCATCACGAAATATGGCATCAAAGTATTCGTGGGCCGGAAGAATCTGTAGTGGGAAGAGGCTGCTTTCCACGGACGTGGTCGGCGAATCGAATCATGGGTCGTGCATCACCCGTGCCAAACAACCCTTCCATCCTTCCGGGTCGCTATAGTTGTAACAGCAACGCCTTCCTTGAGGATAGAAATGCAGACCCTGTATGCCTGACTGGGCCCACGCGCAAGTCACTCTAGCAATGGGCATCAAGCGGCGACTAACTAGTAAGAAATGTAAGTGAAATAGTGCCTTGGCATCCCATCAAGGTTTGGTCAACGGCAAATGCTTCATCCTTCAACATTTTTTATCAATATTCGTGCAGGTACCCTTTTTGATATGATATGAGAGCCTCACTTTGATAGGAGGAGGTGGCTGTGGTGTGAACGAGGAGCGAAAACAGTGTGGCACCGCTTGCGAACCAACTTGCTCACAACCTAATCCAACCGTTTGTTTTGCACATTCAGTTGTCTCCTTTATTCCTCGTTGCCTTTGCACATCTTTGTTTTTGGCTTTTATACTAACCCAGCATCTACTAATCCTTTTCCTCACCTGAGCATTTAGTGCACTAAACAATGCATCATAAACGTTTGTCAATGCAGACGGCTCTATATCCGCGATTCGAAGAATGTCTGTCGTTCCAGTGGCCAGTTGCCCCACAGGTGGTTTATCAATCCTATGTTGCTCCAACGGCACTAAAAATGCGGGACCCTAAACCTATAAGGGCACGATTGCGGATTATTCTGTCCGGGGCCATTTTGGCTCTCACAACGAGGCCTAAAGGTCTTGGAAGATATTAGCGCCCTTCTCCGATTAAGGTCCTTAACACATTTTCTTAACCCATTCGTGACAATGTCAGCCACCGGTGGCTGACAAAGCTCTCACTCGGGACAATGGTATTACTGTGGCTGCAGGGCTTGAAATGGAATTTGGAAAGTTTTCTTCCATGGAAAGAATCTTCATACCCTCGCTCATCTACGCCAGCCCTGGGCAGAGGAAATCTCCCTTCACTCGGATTTTATTGAAGAAAAATCTCTGACGCTGCTGCTATTGCGCAATCCTGCGCGGTCGCGAATGGGTTAAGGCACAAAGCTTGTTGAGAGACGGTGTTTGTACTTGGGCGTGACCTCTTTGAACGTGTGCCGTGTGGACGACTTTCCGGCAATACGCAGTATATCCGTACGTTGTGTCTTTCGACTAATATATGTTTGTTGTGTCTCGCGCGAATTATTCAATACCTCATGCCATCTGCGATTAGCGCTTACATCTAGCCTTCGATTGCCCCGGAAATCCTCCTGACGCTTTTATTTTCTGGGTGATCACCGACAATTAACAGTGGTTTTCTCCAATTTAGTGAAGACATTTTTTCTCATCAGTGTGCTTAAAGACGGACTGTAGCGAAAAGTCGTTTCCTGTTAGAGCTGGGAGTAGATGTGATAGGGAGAGGTGAACGATCAAGAAATTCAGAGTCCGAGACAAACCTGAATATCGTTGCATCCTTCGCGTCAGGCGGATTTCCGGGGCAATCGAAGGCTAGATGTCCCTTCCTCAGGTGGATATGGTAGTGTCTCTCACTGTCAGTTTCGTGAAGCGATAGCGCCTAGAATACATGACGTTCTATTGAGGAAATGGACCTGCAACCACACCCATCAGGAAGGGAAATGACCATTTTTGTCATCCTTTCTTTTCAAAACAGTTCTCCATCCTTGAAGAAAAGTATCTGAAATTTGAGAAGAAAATTACCCCCTTTCACAGTGAGGACAATACATAGATTTGATTCGGAGTTATGAGTCTGAAACGTAGATGTCCCATTTGCTTATCTCTACACTCTTCATATACTGCCACGAAAGAAACTGAAGCGCCTGTGAAGCGTATAAGTCCACTCTATGCCCTAGCAGTAGCTTTTTGCTACTAACTAGGAGCTGCACATCATAAAAAATTAGCTTCGACGCTCGTAAGCCCAGTGCTTGAAGAATATCATTCGCACGTGCTCGAATCCCTTTGTTGCAAGCCTTTGCATGACAGCATTTCAGATCCAGTCAGACCGTGCTCGGAGTTAAACTGCCCCAGGGGAACTCGCTGTGAATTGGGCCGAGTGATTTGTCCATTTGTGCCGCCGTGCTTTACACAACAAACTCGGTGCGTGCCTGCTGGGCCAGATTCTTATCGAACATCACCAGCAGGTCCCCGTTGTTTTGCGCATTGGCAAACGTCACTTCTTATAGTAAGCCTATGCATGCACTACACCGTAACCTTT